ATCAGATATCTAGAAAATGATGGAGATGCTACTTCGCCCAGCACAGTAGACGCTGAAAATACCGCCCTAACTGAAATCGATACTATTTTAGCAGAGGCGGGCTATAGTGGAGGAACAACTACTTACTTAGTCTTGCAGTTCCGCAGTTTAGCCTATATCGATGGTGGGGATGGTAAGTATGACATTCAACAGGCTATTAGCCGCATAAAAGCTGGTAAATACACAGATAAAGATGGTAAAGAGGAAGATGCTTCCAGTTGAGGGGATTTAGCCAAATTTAAACAGCATTTTGAGAATAAGGAAAAGTTGGTCAAATTAGATGAGTGAGAAAATGAGGCTCTAAAAGCCATTGAAAAAGCCCTTAACGGCCAAGACCAGCAAGAAACTTTAACCGATTGACAGGCTAAATTAAAAGCCTTAGACCCCACTTTGGATGACACAATAATTACCGACACTTGAAAAACTAAATGAGGTCAGGTAAAAAAACACGGCAAACTTGCCGAAGTGGAAGCCTTGATTAAAAAAGTCTTTGGTTCGGATGGCAAAATCAAGTCTGAATTCCTGGAAGAAATCAAAAAGTCAGATGCTACTTTGGTAGATTTAAAATCCCTTCTCCAAAAAGAACCCAAAGACATTATTACTTATATTGCCCGTTTTACTTATAACCAACTAGATGATAATGCTAGTGATGAGAAAAATAAGAAAAAGACCCAAATGAAACGAAGAATTGCCAAAAAGTTGAATAAAACTAATGAAAGCGAATTGACTGAACAAGAACTTAATGATAGCCTTTATAAGTTGGAAATAGGAGACTTAACTATTGACAATACTAAATATTACAAGGCAGATTTAAGTGAGATTACTTCTCAAACGCAAGATGAAACCGAGCCTAAATGATATCAATGAGGCAGCACTGCGGGCAAAGTCCTGTATATTGGCTGCTCCCTATTATTAGTGGGAGGATTGCTGACGGTTATATTCCGAAAGCAGATTAAAAATTGATGAAATGGTCCAGCCGAAGAAGAGGGGGAAAGTTCAGCATCTACTACCGAGGAAGAAAGAGATGAGGAAGATGACAAGGAATAAAACCTGAACTCTCACCCCATCCCACTCCCTCACCCTCGCCCTGCCTAATAAGCGGGGTGAATGCGTAAAATGCCATTTAGAAAAAGATATCTGACTAATTGCTGATACTCCCTATGAAGTTTGACACTATTGCTGATCCCACTCTTTAGACATTGTTTATAAATTAGAGCAAAGCAATTATCAAGTAAAAAACAAGAGTCAAATAATTAAAGAGATACAGGAGGCTTTAATCCCGCAAGAACAAAAAGACAATTTAATCAACTATGTCAACTAACGAAAAAATAATTGAACTATTAAAGGAAATTAAAGACGACTTAAAAGAAGTAAAAGCCAAGATTTATGACCGAGAATTAGAAGAATGAACCAAAAAGTAAAAAAGCAAGAAATTTTAGAGGAAAAAATAAAATGATGAGAAGCAGAACTTAAAAAACTTGAACTTGCTTAACTTGGGTTTTTTGTTATTATAGAATGTTTAAGATTTATGAATAAAAACCTAAAAGACTATACCGAACGAGAATTATTACAAGAATTAGCCAAACGCATAGTAGTTGGTAAATCAAAAAATGAAAAACTGGGATATTTGATAAAATCAATTGAGGAAAAAATGATTGTCCGCGAATTTCACATCAAAAAAATACAGGAATTAACTAAGGAAATTGACAAATTAATTGAAGATTATAGGACTAAAGAAGAAAAAATGAGATCGGATTAGTAGAATAAACACACTCTTTATGGGTTTTTTTGTTATTTTGGTCCCCTCCCTCCGGTAAATAAAGAAAGTAACTTATGATAATGAACTTATCCGAGTTTTTGCGTTTGTCTGCTCCGCTGACCGTCCTGCGTAAAAAAGGTCTAAAAAGCGACACTCATCGCTCGCTAGTTTTTATATTTTTTAGTTTTACTAGCGGGCAAAATGGGAGGATATTCCTTATATTATTACCACAGCCTTCATCAGCTGACTAATTTCTAGGCTGGATTTTCACTGTGTTTTCCTTAGCCTAGTTTGGTAATGTTTTCAGAAATGGGTTTATCCTCCCTCCATTTGGCCCATGACAAACACATGGGTCACCATAGATGATCAATTATTTACGAGTCATATTATACGAGACCTCACTCGAAAAAGGTATTGTTTTATAGTTTACTCGTGGCTTAGTAGAAACCTGAGTCACGAGGTTTTGAAAATATGTCAAAAATCAAAGAAAAAAAGTTCAGTTGTAAGTATTGCCAAAGTTTTTGTCGCAAACATAAAGTAGGGATTTGTGATTTTCACTTTCACCTAATTCATAAGGAATTTAGAAAATTTAAAAAAACATGCCCATAAAAGATTATGCTAACTAAATGCTATGTCTGTCATAAAAAATTAGGCTTTGGCAAGGTAATTTTAAATCCTAAAGTTGAGGCTAAATGGTGGAAGGGTCCTGAGAGATATATTTGCCTAAATACTACTTCTAAACCCCGCCCTTGTTATTCAATATTACATGAATTAGCCACCTGAGGACAATGTTCTAGCGGTTGCTGTTCTGCTTATCACATGAATAAATTTGACTTAGATAAGCATATTGAAGAAATAAAAAATGGTCGGTATATTTATAAATATACTGATTATGCAGTAAGTTTACTTAAAAAAGTAGGAAGGATTTAATTAAAACTAACTTAGAAACTATGAATAAAATAAATTATCAAGATTTATATTTAGATTGTTGGGGGGCCTGTAAAAATCCCCCCGAACACCAAGCCTACATAAAGAAAACAGTAGGCAATAATCATTATTGTCGCAATTGTGGAAAAGTAGGAGGAAAAGTAGAAATAGATGTGTTTGATATTAGAGTTTGTGCTGAAAAGATAAAAAGTGATGATTATAAATATTGTGGTAGTTCCATAAGAAAATTAACTTAATTTCTTGGGTTAGTATTTTACACCAGCAGGAGGTTTTTTTTATGTTATTTACTCCTGCCCCTGCAAGCAGTCTTTTTTCTTTTATTCTGCTTCTAAAAAATTCCGTAGGTCGAGGGGGTAGCCAATCCCCCTAAGTGGATATGGGTAATCT